ACATCTGGCAGTTGTTGGCCATCAGGGAATGTGACAGGTATTTTGCCAAACGAAAACCCACCAACAGGAATAACACTTGCTCCTGCACAGAATTTCAGCATGTCTGACAGGTGATACTCCTCATTTCCTTCTGAAAAATCAATATTGGTGTTAATTGTTGACTACATTGAAAAAAATGTCAAGTTAACATATTGGCTGTAATCGAGATGCTGCTGTGATGAACAACAAATATCTTATGTGGAAAGGTTAACGAGTATCTTCTTGTGATATATAATAGGAAAGTGAAAATTATATTGTACTACATGCAATCTGCTCATATTCTCCAATATACCAATAGTGTTATACAGATTTCGGTTTGGTATGTAACGAGGTCTAATGGTTTTTTTATTTGATTTACCTTCGAGGGCTGTAACAAATCTTGTGAAGTGACTAAATGCCATGAGCTCCTGATGCCTACGGGATGTGCCCACTGGGCTGTAATCACTCTTTCAGCGGTCAGAGGTGCATGGGTGAAGAGCCTCGCGAAATCGTTATCAGCAAGAAGCTGAAAAATATATGAAGTGTATAAATGAAAAACCTTACGTGTAGGCACATGCTGTGTGTTATAGCTCTTTCACACCTTTCACTCTTTCACTCGTTCTTTCACTTTTTTCGTTGTGAATTTGTGCTCAATCGGTGTTTTAACGCTTTTACCGCGTTACATGCAAAATGTAAGCGTGGTGATTCGTCTAGCACAGCAGCAGCAGCAAGATGGTCAATCAAGGCCTGAATGTTATTTGGAAATTTGACATGCTTTATGCCGCCTGAGTACCCGGCCATGCTCTTGTTGTTGAGCACCCTGAATGCCACCGCAGCCAAATGCTGGTAGTGCCTTGCCCCGACCGACTCAGGTACTCCAGTGTAAAATCCAAAGTAATAACGCCAATTTTTGACGAATATCCACCTGACAGTGGTGATGAGGGCGCGGACCTCAGCGCTGTAGGCGGCAAAAATCTGTGAGCACATCGGCGTCATGCCCTGGAGGAACCGCGCTGATGAGCTGGCAGACGAGATTCAAGCTTGTCCACCCACGCCCAAGTCTTGTGGCCGCAAGACTGCACTCAATCGGTGCCGTGTCCGGGAACGACGCTCGAAGGTCTTGAACCGTCACAATCACTGTTGCCGATGCAGTCATACGCTACCACTTGCCGTAGGCAGCTACTGCTGAGGCAGAATTCACCGAAAAGGCACTTTGTATTACGAGTTTGCCCTTGTCGGGGTTTCCAGCCATACGTATTATCTTAAGTGCATTAAGGAGAATCCCCTGCGCCGTCTCCCCAAGCTGCCCCTCAGTGACTTTCTCTTCATGGTCCAGGTCCAGGAGCAAACGAACAACCTCTGCGGTCAAGACGCTCTTGACGGGAGTCACAAGTGCCGCCGCGCGTGTAAACGTGGCTAAGACGATATCACCCTTTGAAGCCTCGTCTAGCCAGGTGCCTGGCAGGCACCTCGTCTAGCCAGGTGCCTGGCAGGCCCGGCATGTTGTCCTTGGTCAAGTAGTCTCTTTGGGCTAACCCGAACGTACCTAATCTATTCGCCTTAGGTTGAATGGGAGTGGAGAGCTTCTCGATCTCCTTCAACAACTGAGCCTGCTCATCCGTTAGCTGACTCATACTTTACAATAAGGTCTCAAAAATCGAAGAAGATTGTTTTTAAAAGAGTAGTAGTATTTGTGGCTTAACCGGGGTTGGTGTGTGTCGTTAGCCCTAATGGCGCGAGTTATTGTGCTGATCGGGTATCGAAGTAGATAGTCGAGATCGATCAGGATACACTAGACTAATAGTGTCATTTCTATGCTACGAATCTAACGACCTAAATCGACGAGCTAAATACCTGAT